GGATGGAGTATTACAGACATTTATGTTTACTAATTGGATCATCATTTACCTCAAATTGTATTTTAGTCCTTTAAATATGTATTGTCCCTTGAAAATGACAAAAAAATCATAAAAAGATACTTTGAATTTAACTTACTTCTTTTGCAGTAACATAGAAATTATAAACTTGAGCACAGAAAACATTGAATTAAAAAATGTGTACCCTAATTTTTAAACTGGATAATTTTAATAAAGATAATAAAACAGTTCCAGTGACTGGAAGTGTTTCTATCATTTTTCGCTGTAAAATGATGGGTAAACATTTTTTAAATGCACTAATTTTTATGTTCAATTCAATAATTTTTATGTTACTTCAAAATGGCAAGTTAATTTCAGAAATGATTTTTATGAGTTTTTTGTATTTTGCATGGGACAATACATCTTTAATTGTAACAGGGTCAATTTTTGGGTCAGTGTTGCTTTTAGGTTTATCGTCATTATTATATACAGTATAGATAACCATACCAGTACCATCTGTAGGCCACTGCTTGTAGTGATGAATTAAACTGAATAAATATCGCTACACCGTCCATGGCTACTAATTGAGTCTCAGTTGACATTGTTCATTGTGTGTTAAAATATTACATTATGTTAGCAACATACATACAAACATACATACATTCATACATTAGTTACTATGGCTAAAAGGCCATAGAACACAGTGCAACAATATGTATATGAATGACGGTATTGACAGTGTATAATTAATAGTTGCATTGCACTCACTAAGTTAGGCAGACAGACAGTGTGTTGTCTTGTAATTGGGTTTGGTACATTTATGATTAAAAAGAAGGTAAGCAGTTGGATGTAATTGACTACTAAACCACTAGTTTACAGTAATTGAGCTAAGGTGACCTATCCATAAATCTCTGGGCCAGTACACACACCGTTTAGTTGAGGAAGCTGGGCCAATCTCTCTCTATCCAAGAATCTATACTTGACACACTATAGCCTATCTACAAGCCTAGCATTTATGGTCTTCGCCCAGTAGTGCATATAAAGTCTCCCCTCTAAAAAAAGCTTGAGCAAACCCAGGCTCCCCAGCAATGTAAATTTTCTAATCAAAGAAATTAGGACCATGTAGTTGAAAATCACCCATATCACTTATTTATTTTTTTAATAAAGTATACCTGAATATATTTTGCCAGTACTTTGTCAATCAATTAGTCCCATAATCAGAAAAAAATGGAGGTATATCTGATCTAGCTTAGAAATCGACTTAGTCAACTAAGCTATGGCGCTGTGCATATTTCAAAGGCACTTACTGTATTTTGTCTTGGTAAGCTGCCAGCAGTCTTCTGGACACGTATCTTGTACACACTTGAAAGACACAAGGTTCGGGCAGCATTCTAACTTGATGCACATTTCACGCAGGTAGTTTTCAACGTCATCGGACACCTTGCAAATCTCTACTAAGGCACGGTAACTTTTGCCTTTATACCTAAACAGCAATTAATTTGTATTGTTAATACATGGACATTTCTAACATGAATAGGAGCAACTAATTTACACATTAATAATGAAAAATAAAAGTAAATCACTGTTTAAATTATAAAGAGAAATTGTTTAAATGAAAAAATTTAATATTGCAAATTGAATGAATGACTGATTGGTTGGGTAGTTGGTTGAGTGATTAATTAGTTAGAAAAAGTTGATTGATTGATTAATTAATTGTTTAGTTAAGTTAGATCCGGAACTACAAATACAGCCTCTGCATCCTCAGCACTTATATTATAAATTATGTTTATAACTATGTTTATAAGCGAAATAAATATTTGTTTTTACGACTAAACAAATTGAAAGGAATCTAAATAATATTAGGTAATAATAATAAATGATAATATTAATAATAATGTTACATTTACAGTACGGTATATTGCCAGAGCATGACTGAAAAACTTACTTTGCTTTCATGACTTGCAGGTGGCCATTCATTCCAGCTGTTTCGTCGTTCTCCACCTGAAGTTCACGTAGTACTCGTGGTGGCTTGTAGGCCGCATTAATCAGCAGGGACATGATCTCCTTAAGAACTAAGGTCACCATGCCTGGTCCAATGGCCTTTGGTAACTCAGCAATGTGGCCTTTGTTAAGATATGGCCCAGAAAAACATTTATGGTTAAAGAACACTTTTGGAATCCAGATTGATCCTTTCGCAGCTGTAAAATAATTTAGAAAAAATACATGAAAATCTTGCATGGGTAGGTGTAAAATATATTAAACTAAGATCATTAATGAACAACTTGTTGAAGCAAGAAGCTTTAACTATATTATCATCATCATCTTTTAACAGTTTTCTTAGCTGCGTAAATGCCTTTTTCTAACGCTATCTCACGGTAGTCTAAAGGATTATTTTAAGTGCTAGCATTAATGAAGTATTATTAGAATTATTATTATTAACAATAACAATAATATACTTTATTTAAAACACAGACACTTTAATCAACTATGGGTGTTTTCATCAAGGCTGTGCAAGGCTATACATAATAAGAAAGAAAAAGAATGAAAAAAACAACAAAAACACAGCATCTTAGCTACCAGTGAAACTATACCCCACCGGACAACAACCTGGTATTTTTTATGTTTTGGGGATGACAAATAATGAACAAGAAGTTTGCTTGAAAATATGTAAATTGGAAGAACATTTAAGTTCATCTGAAAAGTCATTCTATAGCTTAGTGCCATGATATGAGAGGCTATTTTTAGTATTTTTAACGAATGCTTAGCAAGTTTTTGTTTTTTAAAATATAGGTATCTTTATATTATGATTACTACTACAATTTTGCATTTTAAAAATGACTCACAATCATCGCCTTCATCACCGCGATGACTTTGCAAGCGCTGATAGAGGTCACGACCTGGACTCATGGGGGATCCCTGCAAAGGTGAAGGCTTTTTCCTAGAAAGAGTGAAAAAACAATTAAGAAACATACTGTAGTAACAGAACCTTGGGAAGAAATTACTACTAATAATAGATTACAGAAAATAATTAAAGTAATTGGTCAACCTAAAACAATTATGATTTAAAATTTATGACTTATTGGAACTGTTGTCAAGGTAAGCCTAACTTCATTTTATTAAGCCCTTGTACCTCCTTTAATATTACTTGCAGCGTAATGGGGCTGTACCGAACGCACAAAAGCAATGTATCAATCAAGGCGCTACTTACTATAAATGACATAACATTAAATATATAACATTTAGTCTTAGAAATGACTTATTGATTATAATGAATTTATTCAGTTTGTAAATCGCTAGTCTACTTGTTTTATTGTGTAAACAAACTTACGATTTATCAGTCCATACAACCGCAACACTTGGCTTTTTAACTGAAAAAAGAAAACAGAGACTATTGAGCCCAACTCTTTTATAAATAAAAGAATCTTTGTAAATGAAATTCACCTTAAATTTAATTACTTACTTGGTAAAAGTTTCGATGACACACGTAGAGGGTTGTTGTTAGCCTCGCACCAGCCAACCGGAAACAGTGTGTCCGACTCAATATCAACAATGACATTTGGATAGCGGAACCCATCGAAGTGTATCCATGCGTATCGGTCAACAACCTTGGTAACGGTTGCTACGTACATCTTACCATTCCTCATCAGTGGGTTGGCAGCCTCAAGCTTCATCCCACGCTGTATTGAATGATCTTGCTCCGTGACCTGGAAAAAAAACCAGAAGGTTTATTAAATAATCCAAGAAGAGACAGACAACACATACTGATTCAATCTCAATCTTTCAAGACTGGTTTCCTTGAAATCGCTACACCGTCGCTACAGTCTTTTCAGTGAAACCGTCGTACTGTGTAGCAGTTCCAACGCAATCAGTACGTTACCTGATTCAACTGACCAAACAGCATCACCGAAAGCTGCCGGCGATAGCATGTAGTGATTGTATGGAAACAAAGCTTTACTCCTACTAGTGTTTAGGAGCGGTTCGGCACAATGGTTCAGCTTCTCAGTCTCGCAAATTCAATCCCTCGCTGTACATTTCGCTTGTTGTATGGAACACAATAATAAAATCTTCAACTAGAAAATTATATACATACTGTTCTGAAGAATCGTTCTGGAGCACTCAATGACTTGCAGTACTTGAGGTAATCTTGCCAACGATACACTTGAACATCATAGCCTAAAAGAAAAAAGAATTCATCCATTACTATACAATCTATCCTTGCAAACAATAGGAACAATAGTGTCGGCAGTTGGAAGGAGGAAGTAGGCTTCAGGGAGAGCTAGTCAAAAATATTCTATGTAATTTTTACAGAATATAAAAAACTAAACTAAATAAAAAATTAGTTATGTTTTTATAATAATGATTCCTTGGGAATGTATACTGTTAATTTTATGTTATGCCATACAGTTAAACCTCTCTGTGCAACCACATTTCGTAAGTGAAATTTAGTGACCCCTGGCAAAAGGCTCTATTTGATACCTCTATAAGGTGCCCACATATCATAAGAGTGCTCCTCTCATCACTGACCACAACCACAATAGTAATCATTGCATCTAATGTTGTTGTATTTATTATTTTTATCTGAGACTCAAAATCACATTAAGTTTGGGAATCATGTAAAAGTGGCCGCCTCTCATAAGCAAGAGGTTCAACTGTGAGAATAAATATTACCAACGGATTCTACTTAGTGATCAGTCTTTCGGTGACAAATAAAATGCTGATACACTTCTATAATGGTGACAGCACCAGTCATCAATCATCTGATCAGAATCCCCTAATCAGGTTTGGTGACGGCACCATAAATGGTGATGTCACCAAAACCAATATGCATCAGATCTATTAGGTAGAATCAGGTGATATTACAAGCAAGCATACATTACATACCAGGAGGTTTGGTGATGCTGAGCCCGTTTCTCCGGCACCAGTTTACCGGAAAGATCCCTGGGCAATCTTGGTAGCAAACAAACTGTGAGGGCCCACTTCCACCCTTGTGATCATCCATGCGTACCATGAAAAAATATTTGTTGAAGACCTTTGAGACGGTTGCCGGGCCGATCTCCCACGGTCGTTTCGGATTGACTGCTTCTAGCTTCATCCCCACAAGGAAGAAGTGTGGCTTAATATCTTTTTGGTCCTAAAAAATGAATATTGAAATTAAATGTTAATGTTTAAAAATGTTTGTTAAAACTACCAAAGGCCAGTAATAGTAACAAACCTAGTTACTACGCCTGTAATAGTTACTAACATAAGAAATAAGCCAATAATAGTTAACAACCTAGTAACTACACCAGCACCTAGTAACTAAGCCAGTAATAGTAACTAACATAGTAATTAAGCCAGGAATAGTAACTAACATAGTAATTAAGCCAGGAATAGTAACTAACCTAGTAAGTAAGCCAGAACTAACCTTAAAGAAGTCAACTGGTAGAGGCTTCTCAGCTGACAGCTTAAAAGACTCCTGTTGATGACATTGCCATTGGGCGACGGTCTTCTGCGGATTACCCGTAATCAGAGCTAATAACAGACACAAATTAAATGATTGGTTATTTATACACATTTTACACAAATAAATTATTCAAAATAAATTTAAAAATCATAACATGAACTTTTTCATTTACAAGTTGGAAAAATGTATCTGTACCTTCAGGTGGCTTAAGTGACAACTTCTTTGACAATGCCCAACCCAAGGGATGCAGCCTCCAGCTGGTATACCAGAGGTAGAAGTAATCTTTCGACTCTTTGGCATTGCCGACATAGCTCAGCTTCAGGTATCCTCCACGATTCTCTCTGATCATGGCTGGCCAGCACTTTAATGGGTCCTGTTCATCCATCACCTCAAGGAACATACCAGGCTGGATCCTATCAATTAACAGGCAGCTAGTAATCTAGAAAAAATCACAAGGTAGATGATTGATCATATGTTAAGTAATAATCCAAACATAGGCTAATAACGTCTCTCATCTATCTCCTTCTTAACATCTTCTGGTGGTCTATAGTTAAAAAATATTACCATCTATTCAGTGTTTCCCCATGTGCATTACAAGGATGACATCAGTAGCTCATTAGCTTGTAAACCAACATATTCATAAGGAAGAATTGTAAATTACTAAGAAGGTCAGAACCAAGAAAGGATCCCATGTATTTTTCCAGCACAGAAACCTCATATTATTTTTTAATGTTGCAAGGCTTGAAGGCTGTATGCTGATATCATAGGTAACACATGAAGGGCAAAGCATGGAGGAAGAAAGGGAGAGAGATCAAAGGAAAGAGTGATTGTAGGAGTGAGTGACTGAAGGAATGACTGAAGGAGTGACTGAGGGTTACTCACCACATCTGGTAGGTAATTTGGAATGCTTTTTGATCCTGTCAGACTGTTAATGAGAAATTCACTCCAATTTGATCGTCTCTCAATTATGGCTGTAAACAAATCAATAAACCAACATTAAATTAAAATATAGGTTGTTATTTATGAATTGCATTTTTCAAAATACATAAGTACAAACATACTTGAAAATCCATGTAGGCTCCAGTTCAAAGAGTCAGATTGCTCCACTCCTCAAATACTCCTCACATGAGAGGTAGGCAGGATAAGAGACACTGTATCCATTAAATGTTGGTACTGGCTTTGCACTGTGGCTGCCAAGGGTCACCAGGGGTCCAGCCAACATTTTCAATTTCAAATATTTTGAATTGGGACAAATAAAAATTTAATTTAAAAAACTTACAAAATGGAGGCTGAAGCTTCTTCATCATGCGCGCACACCAGCCAATGGGATGCACTTCCCCGGAGGAGATGTTGCACCAGAAGTCACCAGATCGATCTTGAAGGTAGCCCTCGTATCGTAGTAGAAGTAGCTGGCCACAGGTGGCAATGATTCTGGCAACCCAGTAGGTCTTTTGTGAGACAAATGGGTGCACTTGATTGGGCACTTCCACCTTCATACCAGCTTTGAGGCCATTTTGTAGTGAGTCCTCAACCTTAAATAAACCGATTAATTAATAGATAGACACAAACCACAACAATCTTTGTTTACATCAACAATTTTAAATTGTAAGATTCCAAATCCTATTTGTAAATTACAGTACTGTACAATGTCAGTGTATAGTCCAATTTTGTGCATGTTGACACCAAATTTATTAAGGCAACAAAAATGTAAATTTTTACCCCCAGCCCCCCCCCTCTTGGCACCCACATTAAATTTTCTGAGCAAAAGAATGATGTTCAAGTTAATCACCTCATAATATGTTATTTTGCCAGTTAACGCCCCCTCACTTAACCATTAAGCCCTCACTTAATATATGTTTCCCCCAATCCTCACCCCATGTAAATATCCATAGATACCCCACTGATTCTGTAGGGCATGCATATGATCCAATACAAATTATATCACAAAATAACAACAAAGTGAAGAATTGAACTGAAAGATTTCGGATTGGCTACATACGTGTCTGAAATACTTGTGAGGCACGGGTTGCGATCCAGTGGCTTCCAAGTAATCGTCCCAGGAAAACTCTGATTGAGGAGGGGGTTGTGGTGTTTGGTCTGTGCTTGCATTTGTATCAGGTTCTAAAAAAAAGAAAAAGAAAATTACTTTAAATCAGGATAATTCTGTATGTCTTACTGGGAATTGTAAAAAAAATTAAATGCTGTATTAAATTGGTTTAAAATTATATTAACAACACTTCACTAAAACACTACCTTTATCTTTCGTGTTAGCTGTTTCCTCTATTTTGTCCTTCTTGGCAACTGGCTCAGCAGCTTTGTCAGTTGGTTCAGAAAATTTGCGTTTCCTTTTTATGTTCACCTGCGCATACACCATATCATGTCTACAAGTGAACAAAATCAATAAATCAAGAGAATAATATTTCAATTAAAAATACCAACTTCTGTTCTCATAACATTATAATTAATTAATTCCAAGATTTAATATAGTTTTGAAGTAAACTATTTGCAATCCAACACTTGGTGCCTATTCATTGACTTATGGGGCTCAAATTGGGAGAATTGACTTCTGGGAGATCTGGTTTAATGAGGTTAAGCACATCTACTTGCATTTTGCAATGCGTAGCGACAATAATTGGCAGATGACTTAGGGATGTAAGATATTGCAGTAAAATAATTCATTTGCAAGAAAGGGGTCAGGTTTTGTGCGATCTCTGCCTGCTTACAGGGAACAGTGCCGATTTCCAGGAGCTCTTATGACTCACAAGAAACTTTGGACCACTGAGACTTACTTTATAGCATAGTCAATAGATGAGACTGGTTCCTGATTTTGATCCTCTTCAATCTGAAAGTCATCTGGCATTGGTGTATACAGACTTGAGATCTTGGTAGATGCCGGTAACTGAGTAGAACAAGAATAATAAAACAAAATAATTATTTATATGACGGAATAACAATCACGCTACATATATATTAGGGCCAGACTATTTAATACCTTCTTCTGCAAAACTTATATTTCTAAAGATCGTCAGAGGAGGGCAGGAAAAAAATTAAAAATAAAATTTTGTTTTCTTATTTAGCAAATGGTTTTGTATTACTTTTTATATCTACTTAATTTATATAATCAAGAAGAAATAAAAAGTAATAAAAAATTTTAAAAAATTCGTGGCAGTGGGTGTGCTAATTGGGCTAAAATAAAATTTTATTTTTTAATGAAATTATCAATATTAGCGGGCAGCTGGTTCGCTAAACAAGCTATGAAAAAAGTCTTGCCTAAACAGGAAAGCATAATTCAACATACAAATACACTATAGTGTCTTCGTTACAATTAGAACCCTGAGCCTAGGTATTGGAAGGCAAACATTTAAGTCACAACAGTACATAGGAAAATTATAAGGTAAACATCTACATCAATTTAATTAACTCTACATAAATAAATTGCCACGTTAGTGAATTTTAAAGTCTAGTGTTCGGAGTTGTTGGAAAGTAAGATGACCTATGATTAAAAAGAGACGATAAAGGCAAGTCAAAATAATATTGTGTCAAAATATTACAAAATTTGTTATAACTTACTTGATATGAGCTTCCAGGCCTGACAATTTTTGCAACCTGTTGGCTGATCTGCTGCGATTGAATAATTTGCGGCGACAGCATCGGTGATATGATGGGCGCCCGACTGATAGCCTGCACCGTTTCAGCAGAGTTGGCAGCTCTTGCTTGGACCACATTCTGCAGGGCTGCACGCACACCTAACACCGATGAATTTGTAGTCGTTATCGTCATATTCGGAAGGATTGGCTGGGCGATGCTCATGCGGATTAGACCAATGGTCGCTTGATTTCCGCTAGTCTGTATCAGCTGAGGCCTCACAACTGTAGTGGCCAACTGGCTATTTGGTGTCGGCTTCTGCTGGATGTTTGGTAGCGATGTTGTCACTGGTTTCGGACCACTTGTTGTGACCGGTTGAATCGATAAGCTTGCTGGCACCGTGGCTTGCTGTACATTCACAGGTTGTAGGGTGTTCACAGGCTGTGGTATCACTTGTGGCTGCACAGTAGCTGTTGTCGTCATTCCCGAAGTACTCTGAATAATATTTGCACCAGATATGGTTGTCGGTATCGCCTGCTGGATGAGAATCTTCTGGGTGATGTTTGCTGGAGGTTGTGTGGTTTGAAGTGGTGATGCTTTTGACATCAGAGCATTTTGCATCTGAGGAGTGAGGATGATTGGCGGATTCTTGTGGAGGGCAGCGGTCTGTATGTTAGGTACTGTTGCCAGCTGTGTTATTGGCTGGCCATTGCTGCTCCTCAACTGCTGCAGTGTTAATTGTTCAACTATCTTTGCTTGCAATGTCTGTGCAAGTTGGGGAGGGATGGTAATCTGTGCTGACACAGCCTGGTTTTTATTCCCTGCAGTTACACCTTGGATGGTAGTGAGCTGCTGGAGGGTGGATGGTTGTTGTAGGATCGCTGTCGTCTGTTGTTGTTGACGGACATCAGTGTTGGTCTGCGGGATGATATTTCCTGTGAGTCTTATGTTCTGTGTCAGAATTTGAGGGACTGTTGCTTGTTTTGCTACTAGGGGTCTACTGGTTGACATCTGCGCATTAACAAAACTGACTTGTTGAGGTGCTGAAGTCAGCTGGATATTAGGAGTAGAGATCACTTGCGAGGTTGTACCGCCTGTTTGCAGGATACTTACAGGTGTTCCACCAGGTGTCTGTGGGGATATTACTAGTCTTGATCCAGCCGGGATTGGTGTTGTTGTTATAAACGTCGGAGAGCCTACTGGTTGTAACATCTGTGTACACATTGCCAACTGTTGCTTACTAGTAGCCTGCGTAAAAATACCTTCTGGCACACTGACCTTTGAAACATGTGGTTGCAAGAGGCTTATACCAGTTGGCTGTTGAGCTACTGTAACCTGTTGTACTATTGTAGGTGTGTTGTTAATGCTCTTTATCTGAGGAACCATTGCTGGGTTTCCAACAACTGTTTTGTATGGTTGGTTTGATGGCAGCTGTGCAGGTTGAATGGCTAGATTTGGCTGGTTCATGGAAGTTTGGTGGGTTGGATGTAAAACAGCAAGTTGTTGTGCAGGTTGACCTGATTGCTGCACCACAGAAATAGATGGGTTCCCTGCAGTAACTTTTATACCAGATTGCATTGGTTTGACACTGCCTGTAATAGTCTGGATGCCTCCTGTTATATGCTGTATTAATGGCTTCTGAGGGCTGGATACCCTCGCTGCAGCTGGATTCTGTATTCGAGTCACACCCTGAGGGCCAATCTGCATCGACTGTGTCACCGGAATAGCTGCTATCGAAGAGGTTCGAATGGCCACAGGCTGAGGAACCTGAAACCTCTGATGCACAAACCGTGGTGAGCTTGGTATGAGATGAGCTCTGGTTGGCACATTTTGTGTGGGTGTTCTAGGCCGCAACGACTGTGGCCTCGGAGCTACGGACAAGTTAGGCTGGATGGGCCTAGGTTTCTGACTCACAACAATCATTTGTTGTTGTTTTGGTCGCAACATCTGCTGATTCTGGATCTGGATTTGTTGGGGCTGGTTACCCAAATTTCCAGTGACTCCTTGCGGGGCAGTTATCATGACCTGCTTTCCATCTATCGACTGGCTAGTTGTCTGGAAAGTTACAATGTTATTTGCCTCATTCTTCATGGCGGAAACCTTGCCTTGATTTTGCATCGTTGCTGAAGCGTGCTCTTCACGATAAGCTTGTCAGGATGTACGCTCAGCAGAGACCATCTTTGACCGTTACAACGCTGTTCTCTTCCAGCAATGCATTTCTTGTTTTATCTAAAAGGAGAAATGCTGTTAATATTTTTCAATAAATATGTACTGTAGCTATTAATATTAATAACACCTGATTAAACATTAAAATTACTGTATATACTGTAACGAAATGTCTCCCCAATTGTTGGAACAGCCCTAGGGGTGGTAGCCCAATTAATTAGACAGCTGTAAGCCACGCTCTGATTGGCCCTTGTGGGAATGGGAAAGTTATGCAAATAAGCCCACTACATGGGGGAGACTTCAGTTGGTTCCTAAATAGCCCTGAAACTAATACGGTTCTGAAGAGACTCCCGTTAATATTGATCTTCCATTGTTACATCAAGGTTGCACATTTACTTTACGAATACTACGACCCTATGAAGGGCGAGTACTAGAATAGTTGCTTTGGAAATAAAAACTGACTTGCCTCACATGGATCGTGAATTCAAATTGTGTCTGTATTATTTGATTAGTTTAGTAAAGTCGGTGGTGTACAATCGCCGCCGAACCCTGACGCTCATAAATAGGCCTAATTATCCTGACAGACGAAGGAGATTCGTTACAATACTTTAATGAATCAGATTCAGATTCAATATTATTTGTCCAATATGGAAATAGCAATAAGTACATTTTCAAGTCATTCAAGTGGAAATTATTAGACAAATGTTTCTACTATGATTCTTAAAAAGTTATAATAAAATAATTTGTGAATGCTATCATAAACATGAAAAAAATATAACAGATTCATACATAAATTACAAACTGATAACAGGTGCAAAAAGCATTTTGTGAAATGATGTTTATGTCTGAATGCCGTTTACACCCCATCTACTCTAGAAAAGAAATAAAGCACTTAAAAACACCTTGGTTACTGATGGGAGATTTATCCACAGTTCAATACACACATAGATCAGTTCGAACATTACAGCATTTTAAATTCCTCACAAGCTATGGCTCATGGGCTGTTACAGTTGCTGCTCCATTGCTTAGGAATGAACTGCAATCTTACAATACTTCTCTTGTTGCCTTTTAAAAAGCAAAACAAAAATCATGTATTCTCATGAGAAGTTACTAGCTGCTTGACAACACAATTTACTTTCGGTGTACACCCCGAGTGTCACCAAACTTGCAATCTGTGCCTGTACACTATGCTTTAGGTAACTTAGTGCAATATAGAGTTTCACACATAGGCCCTCTACAGTTTAATATCCCTCTGTATATTATTTATAAATAATACAGGAAGTAATATACTGTACTAAACTTAGCGTCCATGTCAACGTATTTGAAATGTCTGGCACAAATATAATGCAATGCATTACAGACAATAATAGCACAAAATATTAAGGATGTTTACACACAACATGACCATATATAGGCACATCATGACCATACATGGGAATATACAACAGTGTATTTCAGGCCTTTAGGAATTGAATGCATTTTATTTTTCATTAGTATTTTGAGACTCCCTTCTACAACCCTTAATTTACAGTACATTCCTGCTTAATCAAGTAGCACAATTGCCAAGAGGCCTATGATTAATAATGGTACATTAAGGTTAAATAACAACCTTTATTTACAGGGCCCCAAAAAACTGCTTTTTAAAATTACTACACACTTTGCATGCTTTGAACATCACAAAACCATTCTTTACGGTAGACTTACAGTACTCTTTTTAGCTGCAAATGCAACAAGTATTGTATACAGGTTTCCTCTTGAATAAAAGTTTGGGGTACAATCAATTGTAAACCTTGTTTGGTTAGTACACTTTGTTATTCAATTGTGTGAATAAAAAGCTACATCTTTGGCTATCTGGAACAAAAGGAATTACCTAATTTTAGAATTTCTAAAGACAGTGGGGTATGAGTGGGCTATGCAAAATGAAGTCCACATTTAATATAATACAGCAATCTTTATACTCCTCTTTTACATTAGTCGAGGAAACTCAAACATGTTCCTACAAACTTGTAGCTCTAATCAATGGCTGTATTCAGATGGTCATTCTTGGTTAAACCACGCCCACCTGCGCAGTGGTAAAATCCTACTTAACAAAGACGACCAGTTGAATAGAAAAATCGTAAATACCCGACAAAAAAATGGCTGCTGCATAGTTACCGCGATACACGCTGTGTAATCAAGGTTGCCTCGGCTTGTGGCAGTATGGGTTTTTTGTAAAAAAAAAGGTTTTCATCCAATTTTTTAATTCTGTTAGCCTACAATCATGTGTCAATCAATTCCATTTGGGTAAATAATAAAATTTTAATTTTCTGAAATTTAATCTAAATTATATTAATGCAAACATTACTGCTAAACTGACTAATCGGCCATGTCAGTTTTGGTCACGTAGATAACTTAACGCTGATTAACTTACTCTGGTTTACATTAATTTTCGTTGTCAACGAAGTCTATTTTATGAACCAGTCGAATGAGAATAATACTCAACGAAAAATCGTAGTCAATGAAATGAACCAGTCGAATAACCCCACTGATGTCTCCAGTTAAAGAAAAAAATCACTAAAATACTCTGGCCAGTGGAATCATTTTAAATTATGTGTAGGCCTGATGTTGTCCTGCACAAATTTTATTTGAACAAAATCCTATTGTGAAATGTCAAGGCAAGCATCTGCCCAACGGAGCTGCCTCCTGATGTTCTGTGGTGCAGAAAACTGTTGTTAAGCCCCAGCCACACTATCGGATATATTTTATACAGAAAACATGTGATATGCCTAAATATGGTCATGTCATCATCACATCTTGACTGACCATAATAGGCACATCATAACTATATGTAACTCTGTACCGTCCTTTTAAAGTACCTGAGAAAATCTGATGGTTTTAAGAGTAGAATTGACTAGACTGAAAATAGTAATTGTATCATGTATTCTACAGCATTCTCTCCTTAATTCTAAGTTAGATCATTCTTGGAATGGGCTTTTATCGGTGTTAGATGTTGCTGATTGATATTTTCTTATAAATATGTGTACTGTATATGTAGGTCTTAAACTAATTATATGTTTTTTTCTCTGTATGGATATGAAATTCCGAAATAAAGATGAATTAATATGAATGAAATATATGGGCAAAGAACATTTTTTTTTTCAAATGAAATTTTATAGTTAAACAGAGCTTAAAAAACACAGATAACATATAAGAGAAGTCAATAGCCCTGGTTAATTGTTTTGAAAGGGTGGGAGAGGGGGGATACAGAATACAGGTATTATTTTTATATTTTTCATTCTTAAGGAGGGAACTTATCACTCACTCAATCAATCAGTTTATGCTTAATAAAAATACATCAAAAATTAAATGTGGATACACTGTAATGATGTAATTTTTAACATACAGTAGTTATTATTTATACTAAACACTAAAAGATAAAAATATGTATCTTTTAGTGTTTAGTATAAATAAAAACTACTGTATGTTAAAAATTACATCATTATAGTGTATCCACATCACTATGAAATGTTATAATTGCACATGCTATTATTGAGACTGTACACCACTTTTAAGGCCTACGGTACAACTAAATAAAGGATGATTTCTGCATGTTAAAATATATGTGGAGGAGGTAGATTTTGCAAACTTACATGAACAAAAAACGTTTAACTCATTTATTGTACTGTACAATGAATAATGTATCTGTTAGATATCTGAAAGTAACTCTTTCCACAAAAAGTTTCTTAAGCCCTTAAAAATTACAAAAAAAATGTGAGTCAGACAGCTAAAAGTCTTCACATTTATTGTATAAGTTGGTATCAACTGCTAGTTCTGTGTAATTTCTAATCTAAGAGCATTTTCTTAATGGACAATCAACTATGACTTACCATTCAATTTCTGGTAATTACGGACTATGGATGAACCAGTGAAACGGTCGCATAATTAGGTTTTCAGTCTTTTATCTATTAAATACATTTACAGGTTAAGATTAATATAATTCCTTTGGAGGATTCAGTACAATAAAATAAAAATGTACTGTATCAAAGTATTAATCATATTCATTTTTTTAAATTTTGGTCACTGCCATTTTAAAACATACAGTCATTATTTTACTGTTACTACACATTCTATACTTTACATCCCTAAAAAAAAAACAAAAAAAAAAACAAACAAACAAACAAACAAAAACATCTCAGTTTATGTTCTAAAAATAAATGAATTCATTGTTGTCCACTACAGTAAATGTAATTTAGGAAGATCTATAAAGTAATTAATAAAATAAACAATTTGATAATATTGCACTTTGGTTGAGTTGCAGCTATTTTAGTCGATGCCGTTGACCTATTTGTCTCAAATGTATTTGAGGGGTTAGGATTTTTAGTGTACAGTATAACAACACAAAAATGCAGAATTCCTTTTAAAAGCCAAATTTGAACACCACAATTTCTTAAGTAATAATTCTTTATAAATAACATACTTTTTATACACAAAGCAGCACACTTCCTCAGTAATACATATTTTTTTATATTTGACAAATATTAATGATCATACCGAGGAATTGGTTTAAACTACTGACGTAAATCAGAGGAATCAGCAATTTCCTCTTTCTAAGTGCATAAGTAAGAAGACATAATTTTATATTTATCATAGTTAAAACAGATCTCAGAGATGTAGGGGTGTTGAATAGCTTAGTGGTTTAAGATGCTTGCATTCTAAGCCTAGGCAGGTTCAATACATTTGACAGCAGGACTTTTCATGACTAAAAACAACTCCACAGTTTAGAATAACATTCACAGATACACTATTAATAATTTTTAAAAAATCAATAAACAAAAATAAATATATAAAAAAGTAAAATAAAGAAAAATAAATAAATAAATAATTAAATTTAAAAAACATGAAATATACTTATAGTATAAACATAAATAAATATAACAATATGTGGCTAAAAAGAGCAGGAGAAGGCGTTTTGTGTTTCCACACAACAATGTAGCCTAATTATATAAATTCCTTCAATATCATATATAAATGGGACAATTGAAATTGTCCCAATTATATAAATTTTACTAATTGTTAAATAATGGAGCAAAAATAAAGCTAAACCATTCTTTAAAAAATAAATAGTTGTGGTACTGCTATTAGGCTCAATAGAAAATTATTAGTTTATCATCCCCATATGCATCTACATTTATGTTAATGGAAAAACATTTTTTTTCTTTTTTTAATTTTTCAGTAAATAGTTATTGTGTGTAATTTCCTTAAATAATAAAATTGTTTTACTGTCGCTATGTTTCCAGTGCAATCGTTGTAGGCCCTAAAGTAGCAGTCCCCTGCAATCGGGAAAGCTACCCGATTCGACCAAAAGCTGTCGGCGATTGTATGGAAACCAAGTTTTGTAGTAAAACATTAAAAATGTTTAAGATGTTTCATCTTCCAATGGCCTAGGCCTAACTAGTCCATCACTGCAAGAACTACTACAAATTACTGCTAATTAATTACTATAGAATTTATAGAATATTTGGCACTTAATAATAGGTCTATATTTATTTATTCAAAATCATCTGTAAATAAACAAATGTTGGTTAAAAGTGTTGAAATGTAAGTTGTATACAACCTTAGATAAAGCAACAACTGTATCCCCCTTCATCATTTCTATAAATAACAAAATTACTGTACATGGAATTTGATGCATCATCATGGGTATTTTTTCATGTATAGAAACCTCGTCTAATTGTACCAGTGAAGAGTTAATGTGCAACAATGCCTAGTGTAGAAGAGGACAGGGCCAAGTATATGGTTCTAAAATACTTAACCAGTGTAAAAAATTACACTCGTGACTATATTTAGTGTAAGGCACACTTGACTGATTATGAAAACCATTATCTTTACGTAGTGTAAAGCGAAACAAAATTTCCAGCACACTAGCCACTTCACGTACCATGCAACACTCTTCTTCCGCTGATGTGCATACATTAGCATCGTGCTCACACTAATCGTACATAACGAAACAGGAATATTGTTGAAAATACAATCTAAATATATGGTAAAATGTCCTCTTAACAGCAAATAATTCGTAAAAATATCTTAAATTACGATTAATACATTAAATTAATCAAGTTTACGAAGTTCAGGCTTACGCCAAACAACAGCCCTTCGGAGATAAAATATTCTTCCGCATGTCTCCAGACAGAAACTAACGTGAGGAAAAACTTTGAAAAACGACAAAAAGAACAAATAAACCCCTAGAAAAATATCACCAGTACACACTTGATACACTTATTTACATCTGCAAAAAAGGAAATTATGAGCATCTTACTGTTAAACGTTACAATTTAGTGTAAATCTTCTCACACGATTCAACAACCAAATCGTTCTCAAAATGGCACCTAAATATGGCAATGCGCATGCCCGGACGACTACACTTGTTGTTAGGTAAGAGTTATCAATCATGAGAGGTATTTAAATATTCAACTCTCGAAATTCTTATTAACTTTACATTAAACAATTATTTGTTTCAAAATAAATATACGATGTTAATATTGATAATTCATACTTTAGTATCTATTGTAATTATCTAACTTGGAATGATATACTGTTTTAAATTATTTGAATAAAGGCAACCTAGTCAATAATGAAACTTACTTATTTACATATAAGTGGGAGGGCTGAGATAATGTTCCCAAGAAGAGAATATGCCTCGTATCGGTGTATGATTCGTCGAGACTACTCTAAATTGACTCGAGACAACCGGAACAGATCTGCGTATGAAAAAAAAAAAAGATGAGCGATAACCAGTACATGCGGTCCTATGTTGACAATGGTTCTGAAACACTCCCAGCGTTTGTCTGTTGTTTATTACCAATATTATGGACTGGCAAAGAGCGGTATGGATATCGTATCACTGCAAATTGATTGTTGACGACTATATAGAGGCAGTCACCAAAACATTTAAACCTTAAAATGAAGCATATGTGGGCCAACCGGCGCGTAAAGGAGAAAAGAGGTTCAGATCCTGTATCTATAGGCTATCATAAATATAGCTAATGGTTCCTTTTAAATCAGACAGGCATGTTCCAAGATCGATCTCATTTTTTATGTTGTAGGCCTACAATAAATCACCCGCTACCACTATACAGTCAAGTTAATTTATTTTTATCCAGTAACATAAATCCGTAATTAACTCCAAATTGACGAACTATATTATCCTTCCTCATTCATCCATATCTCCGCTTGTTACGGTTACATTTACAATATTACATTATGCATGTTGTATGTTACACGATATTTCCGCGTGAAAGAAATTATAAAAATATGCACATTTTTTCCGGTGAGTGATTGGTAGCATCCTTTTGAATTTACCTAATGACTATTGAATATAAATTTTGTTTTTTGTTTGTGTGTCTGTGTTTGTGTTATTTTATATTATCTTTTGTGTGTGTGTGTGTGTCTGTGTGTTTTGTTTTTGTTTGTTTGTTTTTTGGGGTTTTTTTTTTTGCAGTTATTTAAGAGTTAACATACTTTGTATGTTTAATATTAGTCCGCCTCATTAGTCGATACCTTTCTAATTATGGGATATGAAGTCAATTTATAGCCTGCAAACGAATCACGTGATCACGCGGTAGTATAATACGCTGATTCACTGTTTTCACAATTATACTATTCGGTTTGCTTGCTAACAAAACATAAATAAATTGTTTTGTTACTATTATTACTTTAATAATATTTTATGATTAGGGTATTACATTGGTATTCATTTTAAATATAAACTCGTGAACCGAGAACAACACAGTACTGATGCATTAAGGTAGAGATCGATTCTATTAAAGTTTATTGTTATTGTTACATTTTTTAATAAATAAAGTGCACTGCTCGGTCACTGAATTTAAAATGTATAGTTAAGTAGTATTGTTTTATATGAGGCAGACCCACGATGATTATTGCTAGTGATATTATTACCATATCAACATTATCATCGTTAAAATCATTCTTATATTATCATTTAATCAATATCATTATCATAGGCCTATATGAACATCATTATCATTGGTGATCGTTATTATTATCATTATCTTTTTTCATTAATAATATAATCGCACATCATAATTATAATTATTATTAGTATTAGCAGTATTTTCTAATTTATGGAATAAAGTCTGAATTTTAATTAATATTTTACTAATATTCCATTAGTATATATTTAATTGTTAAGTTATTAATAACATTATTATAAGTATATTATTAGATTATCAACAGGCGATTATGACTCACTCCTTTAGTTATAATACAGATTAATGATGAAGTGATATAATTATAAGACAACACTGTAATGATAATAGTAATAATAATAATAAAATAATAAATGTATTGATAATAGAAATTACAATAATAATAATGGTAATAATTAATATTAATAGGCCTCTAATAATAATAATAATAATAATAATAATAATAATAATAATAATAATAATAATAATAATAATAATAATAATAATGATAACAACGCCCACTCTGTTCGTAAGGTATTGATGTTTGCTTCTGATATGAAGTTATTATCAAAATACAACAACTGTTATCAGACGTGTCAACTTATGTATCAATTCTAAGCTTCCGATCTTCAATTGTTTTCAAGTGTTATAAAATGTCTAACAAATATTGTGAATTTTAGAAATGTTCGTACTTTATTTTTACTGAAAAACCGAAAGGTCCACTGATTAATCTTAGATAAGATGTTTTAGGTTTACAAGGTTGGCTTGGAAATGATAATGTAGCCTGTAATGTAAGTAATAAATTAAGTTTAAAATTTTCTAATACTAACATTATTGACTTATTTTGCAAAATTGGTCTATACTATTGTTTAAAGAAGCGTTTGCTATACGTAGGCTACACCCATTGCTTAACAATGGGCTTAAAGCTTCAAAGAAGCTTTCTTTGTTTTTGTAGGTAGCTTTGATCAGTAGGAATACTTTGATCTTTAGTTTATTCATAGCTATGTCACCTACTAGGGGTAATGTTGCGATTGGTCAAACACTTCTGGTACTTGTACATGTAAGTTAGCAAATATGGATAATTTTCATTCCTGATGGTGACATAATTAATGTCGAAATATTTAATCCCGACACGATGGCGTGCATTTCGATACATGGAGTATATAGCCTATTATACTATCTTATTTCTACTGAGTGCGTTAATAATTAATAATAGTAGATTTGTTGACTTTTATCACAAGCTTTTATTTAATTCATTACAAATTACTGTTGCACCTCACTCACATATACTGGCAAAATATTTAACGATCTTTAAACATGGCGTTAAGACTCGAACGTAATGCAATGCCAGAATTATAATCTAATCATAGGTGGTTAAGAAAGTCTTTTATAGGCCTTGGTGGTTAGATTTCATATGACTATTAGATATTTTAGATCAATAAAATAAGGGCTAAAGGGCTGCCCTAAGATTAATTCATTCTGCTGTGTACCGATATATCGCATTGGATTGCTTGGAAATAAATTAACACGGGCTTGCTACAACGCTGATGGAAGATAAGTCTAATGCGCGTGTGCAGTTGTTGAGTTCTGTAGTTGAGTAATCGCACTGTAACACTCATCTCTGAATCAGTGCGTCAGTAGCAGACGATAACTTATGATGATTCGTTCCTGGTCGACACAGGCATTATTTCTCCTTTTTAATTTAATTTTTAACCCAAGAGCACACTCATAGGATTTAATTTAGCATTTTTTTATGAGGCTTCTAACTTCACTACCAAGTTTTACATCAAAACGATAGTTATTAATAATATCAATGGTCAAAATGTTAATGATAATCGCACCATATCCGCAAAATGAGCTCATGGTGCTGTAGGCCTATTAATTGAAAAGAAAACAGTAGATAGATATCGAAGACTATCCAAAGAGACTTTAGACTCTTCTGACGTGTCACAAGTTTAGCGGGATTAACACTGATAATTATTTTGTAGGCCATTGGAAGGTCATTATAAATCTAGTCTATACAAAATGCTTTAAAATGTCACCATTTGTGGCTAAACTTTATTTTACTGGAAAAGTAGGATTTGCTTATTTGACTCCAGCTGGTTCTAATTACAATTCTAAGCAATTCTAGCCTATTTGATAATGCAAGTGGAACTGGAGCCAGTATGTTGTATATCTACCAGTTAAATGGGATTGGTCATTGGGGTACCCTGCGATGATGATAATTTTTTAAATAATATCATTTAGCTTTGGTTATTGTAGATTATTCATACAGAATTTCTTTCTGTGAACAGAGTACGGATGGGCGTTGGCTGGTTTGGGGTGGGGGTAGGTGAAAAACGGCTTGGGGTGGGTGCGAACGTTGAGAAAGCGAAACTGAATCCCTATTCCATTAAAATTTATTTAATTGTGATGGTATTTTAACCCACTCAGTGGAACTAATTTGCCGCCATAATTTTCCGCTTCGAATTAAAAGAAGAATGAATTTAAATTATAAATCAATCACAACATTATGTTTTGTTTACTCATTAGTCTTAATTTCTATAAATTTTAGGCCTCCTCTGATCCCTCAATTTTACCAATTTGATTTTCTCATAATTATTCAATTGTAATTGTTATCTGTAATGCCACGTGGCATTGCGTGATGACAAAAGGTGTACGTTGGATGTATTTTGGACGTATCTCTCAGTGCCCGATTTATGGAGTGCCACGAACTAGGCTTTAATAATTTCAATGAATGCATCTTATGTTAAATGTGTAGACATCAAAAGAGAAATAGCAACTGTAAAGCTGTAATAAATGCATTAATCAATGTCATATATCTATTTTCACTACATGTCAGCATGGTAGTAGGCCTACCGTTTATAAATCCGTTTAAATTACATTTGCTGCGAGCACCGCAAACACATTGTAAACAAATAGATGATTAATAAAAATAACAGTATCATTATCTTTATCGATATCATTATTGTTATCGTAATACTTGGCCGTGTTAGTCAAATTAATAAGTAGACATGGGCCTACTGTGTAAAACTAACTTTAGATATACAATTTACCTTTATTCTTATGGCTATCGTTATTGTTCTTCTTATGTCATTTATATAATGCTATATGATGTGAAGTTTGAACTTTAAATGAGAGGAATCTGCTAGTGTAAACACATTTTCCCAGCTAGGATTCGAAACCCCCACCCCCGGTACATTCTGTTGGCTATGCAGACGCTTTAACCAACTTGGCCCTGCGGCTTCTTTGGGAGTTCAAATTCGATTATTGCAACTCATTCACACTATTTGGTGCATCGTAGTTGAACAACACTAGTTCTTATCGCACGTCAAATAACTGAGATCAATATGATATGCCCTCTTCTTTAGCACTTTGACGGCAAGACGGGATCTCCAAAAGCCTATGCTCTTTATAATTATTATATTGCTCTATTATATAAATCATGATAAAATGTAGAGATAAACTCTAAACCGTCTTGCGGTGGTGCACATCTAAATTATGGTTAGTGGTGCGGCCTGTAGTTACATAGTAAGATTGTTAAAATTGGGGGATCAGAGTACAAAAATTAATAGAAAATGTAACACAGTGGTAAAAATCATAATTTATTTTTTACACTTTATAAAAATACATTCCATAAGAATATAATATAAAATATAAGTATGCTTATTGTAAGACAAGGTATACTATATTATATTGGGTCAGTGCTTTTTTTGTTACATGCTATACTGGCTTCGAGGTTGAACTCGTTTGTTTCGAAGTAGGCTCCAGAGGATACACTTCCCCTGATAATATTAAACGTTTAAAGAAAATCCACAAATTGTGCAATAATTCAATTTTATTTAAAAAACTTCGAGACGATATCTCCAAAATTGCAATTGTTTCCTCATTTACTATATACTATGCCAAAGATCAACCCTCTTGGGTTAATCCACCTCTTTTTGAACTGACAATTTAATTGAATGCAGTCTCCCTTAATTTGATGATAGGCCTTTCTCTATTTTTATACTTTTATATATTGGTATATTTTGTGTCTTAATGTTTTTGTTTGTCAAATCATTTAGCCTTGCGTGCTCCCAGTTTTGGGACACTGTTCTGGGCTCTTTATTTGTTTCCTGTATTGTTTGTTTTTATGCAATAATGTGATTTTATATATATTCTTATTTTTTCTCAAACTTTCCATGCCAAAGTATACATAATCTAATAGGAGTACAGGTTGCCGTATTTAAGAAGGGCGTATCTACAAATTGCTGTACGTTGGTCAACACGGGCATTAATGTTGTGACGTTAACACTATTATAAGATTAATTAGTATTAATAATTTTTAACCACTGAGTAAATATTTCGTTGAGAATAGTTCGGTGGAGCATAATTTAAGAGGGGAGCTCTGTGCGAAGTAAGAGGACCCAAAGGGAGCGACGGATACTTTTGGAACCCCTTGTGATAAGAGTTATCCGCTTGTAATTGAGCTTATTTTTATGTTGGATTTAAGACATTTACCGTATTCTGTGTCCATTTTCAGTATTTATGTCATTGTCAGATTTTGTAATGAGATAGTAAGCAAAACCTAAGTATTAACAAACAAGTATTTGTTCAGCTAATTAATTATTTTTGCTGATTATGAAACATGCTATAGCATTTTAGACTGTACCGCCATTGTATCCCGGACTATAATTACTTTCAATCTCCCAGTTTTTACAATTTTAAATTATCATAATTTAGCCTGACGTATTCACCCCGTTAATCCATAATTGTTTTAGAATATTTTGTACAGCATATCAAAAGATATTACCTGAACGTAATTCGTTATGAACTCCTTTCTTCCATTTTTTGTATTGCCATCGGGACTTTTGGCCCCTGAACCGAGGCGCGAGTGGGAGTAATTTTGTGAGGGTTACCGGTACTTTGTTTGTAATGGCCCCATATGGGACTCGGTTATACATCAACGTAGGCCTACAGAAAAACCACTCTAATTAGTTTTCCAGAGCTGGACTGCCACCTGCCATCTTAAACTTTATGCTCTTAGTAATAATACAGGTAGCATAATAATAATAATACTAATAATACTAATACTAATAATAATACTAATATTAATAATAATACTAATGCTAATAATAATAATAATAATAATAACAATAACAACAATAATAATAATAATAATAATAATAATAATAATAATAATAATAATAATAATAATAATAATAATAATAATAATAATAATAATAATGTATGGACACGATAAGAAGAAGTTTAATTTTGTTGCCATAATTATGTTACATTTTAAAGGCAATATGACATGTATTTTTACTTTATTGAATAAAAAAAAACAATGGCAATTAATTTAGCCCATGTGTGTCGTATCTAGAGTTTGAAATTCTTAAAATTAATTTCAAAAGTGTACATGTGTTGATTGCTTTTAGGTATTCTTTTCTTTTATTTTTCCTTTCTCTTTCTTTGTTCCATGTGTGACATAAAATTATATAGTAAATTGTGCAAGCAAACGTAAAATAGACCTAATTCTAAAAAGGATATAAAACAAAAGTAGTTAGTTTTGTGTTTGGAAAATACTTTGGGTAAATTTGGGGAATCATGTTGAAAATTTGGCCTCACTTATCTTCTGAAGTTCAACCATGAATGACTCGCGCCCTCTATTGATATACACTCAAATCATAGAGCTATTGTTCTTATTAAATTTATGTACGCATCTTAAATATTTTCGTTATTTACTTGCTCACTTGGACTATATTGTGAGGGGAGGGCTCGCCCACGAAGGGGCGGATCCATCCAGAATTTTTGATGAGCACCCATATTTCATATGCCTAGTTGCAATCAGTATATGCGTGGAGATATCAATCTCCATGGTATATGCTGTTACGAAACATTGTAACATTTAGCATTTTATGCCAATGTGTATCTTTTTCTTTAAAAACACTTAAAAGACGCCAGTGGCAAAACGGGGGCCAGAGGCGGCGCCAGAAATTTGCCTACAAGTGGTTCGACATGTCGACGGGGGTCACGACGGGGGTCCGAGCCAAGGGGATAGTAAAGCCTCGGTTGACGAGGGAAAATTCCCCTCAACGCTGGCGCCACTACTGTCGGGCCCCAGTTTTCCTTCCTAAATCCCCCCCCCCCCCAACTCCTCAACTCTTTCCTCAAGTCTTACAATATTAAATCATTTAAGATAAAAAGTAGTCACATTGTTAAATAACAATCAATAAAACCCATGGGTATACATAATAAATATACAGTATTTTAAGTATAGAAACATCACAAAAATAGAAACCATTACAAAATTTAAAACTAACTTTCAAGATGAAGAGAGAAAACTCTTTGGATGGGTAAAACTTTTCGACGTACATTTACCAAGAAATGTCTAAGGGGAAAATAAGCTTATTACAATTTGTTTAGATCTTCTGTCTTTTTCTATTTTTACTTAATACACACAGGCCTAATTAAATTACATTTATAAGACGATTACACAGTGGCGATAAAGATAATAATCAAATTTGAATTATTTGACTGTTTCATTAATTGGAGTAAATCATAAATTCGCTTCAGGCAATTGGAAAAACAGGGACGAAACACATTTTGCCTGACCTTCGAAAGAAGTTAAGTAGGCCAATGTTGAGTAGATGGCGCTATTTCATTAAAAGGAAATGACGGTGGTGTGTGACACGCATGAATGCTACGCTCTGTTCTTGTTGTATATTGCATTTTAAGTAAGTTCAGGAAATAAGTGGGCAATGGAGTTTAAAAAGTTTTTTCAATAGTTACCATGTATCTACAAGAGAATAATGTGCGATCAGCTTGAAAAAGATACATTTATTTCATTTCTGTATATAAAGCTACCTATAACAACTGAATTCCTAGGCTAGGCTTGTCGGTTTAAAAAGGCCTACCTAGGCCTACACGGTCATCTGCACTGTCTGTACTCGTCTCCAGGCAGAAGAGCACGTTTTTGCCGGTAGACAACAGTGTTATTACCATGATCACTGTTGACCAGGCTAGGACTAGCGTTGGATATTTGACTATAAATTCTACCACAAAACTATCCAGTCAACCATTTAGTATACAAATGCCGGGTGCTGAGGACGGTAACATAGGTGAAGGATGTGAACTGACGGGACGTTTCAGCTGGTTTGTCCAGTTTGTATTAGCAATGGTTGCATTTTTTACTTTAATGAGTAAGTATGATCCTACCTAGCTTGTCTAGGCCTCTAGGGGCTTAGGCTAGGCCTAGTTAGTAGTACATTGTCATTTATCATTATAGGGCCTAGCCTTGCCTATTTTTTGTTTTGTTTTGTTATGATTATGTCTTGTAATGTTCCCATTTTCTGTGACATTATCATGTTTTACATTGCAGCTTGCATTTACTGTTTTGCTTGTTTTTTTTTAAATATATTATTATAACTTCCTATAAAATATTAAATAATACAAGCAAGGTCAGGGACTGGCCTGTTGCCCCATCATATACAGATGGCGTGGGACTGATCCTTTGTTGCCAAATACTTTATAAAAGATATTTTACATTATTAATGCGGGGACTTAGCCGGGGATGTAATATACGAAACAGTTACGTGCTAGACATGAAAACAATTGAAGGTCTAGCCTACTGTATGTCTGAATCGGAGAATCTTATGAGAGCTAGGCCAAGATAAGCTTGCTTGATGGAAGCACTGCGCATGTGTTACACTAGGCAGATTGCCATGTTTGTTCGGAAAAGTGCGAAAAAAAAAAGGAGGAGTGTATTGATTGATCATAGCAAAAGAATATTGATTGATATATGTAATTGAGGGATATTCAGTATTAAAACAGAAATTAAAAAAGAAAATTCATACAGTTAATTTAAAAACAGATTGCCCTGCCTTGCCTAATTGCCTCACTGGTGTATTATTTTATGCAAACTTACTGCAGTCCTCATTGTGTTGTGGAAGTTTAAATTTTACTATGTAATTTATACCTTGATCATTTGTACAAAATAGGCTACTGTATAAAAATTGAAACCATGATGGTACTGTAGGCCTAGAGTACCGATAGCCAATTTTAATTACCAAAACACAAAGCAATAGACCGAATCAGCGCCTCCAGCTATTACTGGTCATGTGACATATAGTGGGTACTAAATGTAAACATCCACACCGTAAACCACAGTGCAGTGCATTGAACACAGTATATTGAAAGAGTTATGATGTTTTTTGACAGCAACCTAAAGTAAAGTAAGGCAGTAGGCCTACTGTATGGCAGTAGGCCTCACATTCAGTAAAAATTCCTCTCTCAATTGTTTGTGATAAATCATGTTTAGTGCCTCTTTTATTTGCTTTCAATGTGTCTACTTCGTAAAAGTGAGAAATTAGTAGCTGTTTTCCATCGACCATCTTGGCTTTTGCATGTCGGAGTAAACAATTTTTTTTTTTAAAAGCCCTTATTCTTCTTTTGTCAAAAAATTAAGACGAGAAACTACTTTTTTTTTTTACTTGGCCTAATGGTAGTTGTTTTAGCTCATCAAGATGGTACAATATCTTTGAAGATCTATTTACCCTCTATGCGAGCTTTATGAAAGTCTATTATTGATTTACGGTAGTTTGCATTGCATACAAGTTTTATAGTTAGTTTTCAAATTTGATCAAGAACATACTGTACATTTCCTAACCACAATTCATAAAATACTGTTTTCATATCCTTGGTATAGATACTGTCGATAATAGCAATCAATTTTAATTGTTTTTATGTGGGATTTTCAGTAGTTTACAGAGTACTTTTCAATCAACTGAAGCCAATATTCCTTCAATTGAAATTCAATGAAATATTCAGCGATTAGGTGTTTGAATAGAATATTATTATGACTATTATTGATTGAGGTAATAATAAGCTTTTTTGTGTCTATTTCCTCATATTCTTCCTATTGCAGATTGCAAATGTATACAGTAGGTTTGTGCATTATTATGTTGTTCTTTTATTAAAGTTTGGCAAGGTATTAATTACTGTACTAATGCAAGCTTCTCATGCATTATGTAGGTATCTCATGCATTATGTAGGTATCTCATGCATTATACATACATTATTGAATGTTATTCCAATTATTTAACATATTGTTAATGTTGAAATTACATGCTCAGCAAATGCATTATGAGGTGCATAGTACTATAAATTCTGTCACACAAAGTAAATTTGGATTGCTGTTGGGAATTAAGTAGAAGTGGGACATTCCATTCAGTCTCAGTTTTTTGGCCTGTAGTATTTTCACCAATAGGAGAATTGATGAAGTCTAAGCCAATGAAAATATTCAATGTTCAGTTGATCGTCCCTGATTTAGCATGCTTTTTTAGGCCTCAGATGTTTGTTTCTAAATTTTCAATTTTTATTTTTGGTGTAATAAAATGTATTCTGTTAATAATTAGAACATTGTACTTTGATATCAACGATCATTTTCATTGTACTCTTTTAATACACAGTATCAGGAGTGAAAAAAGTTGCACTCACATTGCTTAAACATTTACTTGAAGAAGCACATAAAACTCAAGCTTTATTTAACATAAATTGCCTCTGTTTTAAGCTAAAAAATGGTTTTGAAAATACAGTATTTTAATATTAATTATTTGGTACTTCATGTAACATACATTGGGAGAATGTTTTCTGGATATAAATTAATTATCAGTAAAAAGGCACACATTCTCTAATGACAGATACTGTACAGTAATCAAGCGTTTTGTAATAAAAGGTATGTACAGTGTAAATCAGTGAAAATGACCACAGCATTTTTTGGGGTTTTTTTTTTTTTAGCATTTCTCAGATTTAACCATTTAATGGATATAATAATTGCATACATTAATTTGTTTTTGTTTTAATTTTTTCATTATTAATTTTTTTTTTCTAAATGCATTATTACACATTTGTACTTGTTTAAATCAAGTCTAAGATTTGATTTTATTATACGCATTGGTGTAATCAGTATACAGTATGTATACAGAATCATGAGTCATTGGGAACTAAGTGACTGTGAACATTAATTAATAAATCAGTCAGTTGATATTGCCAAATCTTATTGGATTACAACCTCTCCACAGACCTCAGCAGCTGATGTCTTCATTTTTGCAGACACAGATGAATCAATGAATGATAATGTTCAAGCCCGAAGGCATGATTTAAAAAGGGAGTTCTAATTTGAGTCTGCTCTCACCTCTGCCCTACAATGGTTGGATTAAATTTTAAAGTAAACATAGCACTTGAGATGTCTGGAAATGGCAATAAAAAGGACAAATTTCAAATATTTAGAGTTCCATGCAAATTGTACTTTTAGTAATAATTTAAAAGATCATTTCTTAAAAAGGGGAGTTCCTTCTAACCCCTCAAACTTCCCTGGCTACGGGCTTGAAGTTAATTAATGTAAAGTTTGGGCTGAGAGGGATACAGAGGTTCCATGTTGGAAAAAACCCCTTCTATAGGGATGTAGTTATGGTGGGCGGGGCCTCCAAGCCTTAAATTGTTCCACCTAATTTCATGGTCCTCTACCCACCTTTATTAACCCTCTTGCCCATCCTTAAAATTTACCCTCATTAATTAGAGTTTACCAGTGTTATCACCCACCCACCCTTAAAATGTCTATCACCCATCCTAAGTTTCCTACAGCTATCACGGTATCAGTACGACCCTGCTTCTGAATGATCTGTTTTGTGAACACATCTGATTGTATTTTGTATACATGTGAGGATATCCATTATCGCAGAGAAATTTGAATACATAGTAAAAACATGCAAACATAAATTTGATCAATTTCAAGAATACAAGTTGTGGGTGTACGTGCAGAAGACCATGACAATTTCTGGTCTCACGATTCACAGGAGACTGGAGGCCACTTTGATTTTGTTTCATCACTTACAAGTTACAAAATATCCATTTAGACAATAAGAAGTTGTAAGATTCTGAAAATAAACGTTTTGCTTACGATTAATTATAGAAGTGACTATAAAAAATACATTGGCATTCTTGTACTAATTTATCTTTGAATAATGCTTTGTTTTGTTTTCCCTTTATTTCAATACAGTCAATATAAGAAATAAGTCTCCACCAAACATGAAACACATTATCATACCTTGAGGAAGCTGTTACTTTAACCCCGATTCTTGGCAGACATTACTGTGCATTTCCGCAGCTGCCCGGAAAAGCAATTCTACTTTCTTTGATTTTAATGTAATCCATTACTACCAGTATAGATACGTTAAAGAAAGATATTTGTATTTTTCTATATGTCCCAGTGTTTAGTCTAGTCTCTGATTGGGATCTTCTGCCACTCTCTCCATGGACAAAATGATGGCTCTTTTACTGTGCGATAAATAAAATTAATTAATCTTTCATTCTCATTTTTTTTTCGTTGCAGTAAAGAGACTGCGTGAACCAGTGGATGAACGACGACCATGGAAAATATGGTTTGTAATAGAATTTTATTTATTTACAGAATATTAATCAAAAACAAGGGGCGGATCCAGAGATGTCCAAAAGGGGGGGGGGGCGAAATTTGGGCCGGGGGGGGGAAATTTGGGCCGATAGAGACAACACTGAAATACGAGCTCCGGGGGAATTCCCCCGCGAATTTCTGTGTTTTAGACGCCCGAAAATAATATTTGAGGCGTTCTGGGCTATCGTTTTTTCTTTTTCTTTCTTTTTTCTTATTTTTTACCCCCCTTCCGGGCCCCCCTCCTAAATCCACCCCTAAAAAATATGTTATCAATGGGGGATCCAGGGGGACACTTAGGGATATTATTCTATGTAATGTAGTTTAATTTTATTATGTTTTTAATTATTTCAAATGACTTTTGACATTCAAGGCTATCAGTAGTACTTCATAGTGGAGCAATTAAAGATACCTAAAAAGTGAATTATAATGAGAATTAATGTAATTTACTGCCTACTCTCCTGTATTATATTTTCACTTTCCTTTAAGTGTGTTTTTTTTCACTTGAAAATGGTTCACATTTATTCTTTTATGTTGTTCCGGAAGAGCGCATGATTGCAATGCGCTGTACAGTTGTAAAGCCATTTAGACTGGAAACTCAGTAGTCAAGTGACCTTATAATTTATGATGTTTCACCTTTGCATTAGTGGCATCCCAATAAAAATTCCAATAGTTCCGTTGTAAAGTAAAGGTTAATTTTGTCACACATCAATTAACTAACTTTGCTGACAACAATATCTCCCATTAGTTAATTCATGATAAGTCTACTAATTGTTAAATGTGGGAAAAACCTTCAGAAGCTACAGTAACATAAGCGTTGAATTATTTCGATAAAACTTATCAACCTTTATATAAGACACTTAGATAGATCTTGAAATAATTCACTTTTTGCTGATTTCAACAGATATACTAGTACAGGAATTTAAGGGTACCTGCATATTCAAGTGGGTATTATTAATGAATCTGTTAATTGGGAAGGAAATTATTATTGTCTTGTATTGTAATTAAAACAATGAAATCTAAAGTTACATTTAGGCAATTGCGATGATTTTCATTTTTATGGTGAAACACCAATGAACAAATACTGTAATAAGAACACATCAGTAAAACTTTGCCTTAGCTTCCATAGTTTCCCTGTGTATAAGTCCAACTAGGGTATAAACCTACCCCCTACCCCCAATCCCTACCCTCTATTTTATGCGTCATGTAACTAGCCTTTCCTCAGGAACAAGCCCAGGGTACAATTAATATTATTTAGATGAGTAGCTTACTTACTATATTAACAGATGAAAAAAAAATCAAATAGGCCTATGCAATGTTGCTAAATTACCATATAATTGAAAATGAATTCCCTGGGTATATAACACTAAATTGGAACATTTTTTGAGGGTGGGCTTATTATCCAAGGAGTTACAGTAGTGGATTACTCAAAACAGCTAGAAAATATTAAGTTTTTTTTACTGTAAAATTCTGCAAAGTATTTTTACAGACATCTGAAATTCTATCATATCTTGGTTCTGCTTAAAATCTAGGAACTTAATTAAAATTCAAAGGCCAAAGAACAGATTATGTTAGTTATGTTTAAGAAAATCATTCAGCATATTTAATACAGAATCTGGTAATTAGTATTACAAATTTGATTTAAATTCATATTTAATTCATATTGATTGATGATATAATTGACTGGTATGCTTGTCAATGTGACTCACATGTTGTTGGATGAGAAATGAAAAAATATATTACCCATCTGGACAATGAATAAATAAAAGTAAATCTTGTATGAAGGTAATTGATAACAATACCAGTAATTCTTGTACCATTACCATAATACCAGTAATTTTTGTGATCATCTCTGAATTTGTTTTTGGTCTTGGACTGTAATAAGATTGTGGTAATTAAGCAAAATGATGTGTGATTGATATGGTGGTATTGTGTTTGTTGTTATCCCTGTCATCAGTGGCAGCTCTAGGATACACTGTCTGGGGGGCTAAGCTGTCCGATGGGGGGGCTTGAGCTTTTATGCCTGAGGAGGGAGAGGGTTAGGGTGGGAGTGTCACCCTTCCAAATGAGATTTTTTTTTTTTTTAAATAGGGAACTGGATGGCTACAAATGGCACTCTATGACTGTGAAAGACATGTTTTAACTTGGTGTAGGCCTATTATTTTTTTTTTGGTCCGACTTCCCGACTGCCTAAACAGGGAAATACTTTATGTTTGGAAAGTTGGACTTGCTGCTGATTGGTAGATATAATAATAATAATAATAATAATAATAATAATAATAATAATAATAATAACAATAATAATAATCCAAACAGGGAAAATACTTTATGTTTGGAAAGTTGGACTTGCTGCTGATTGGTAGATATAATAATAATAATAATAATAATAATAATAATAATAATAATAATAACAATAATAATAATAATATTACTAATAATAATAGTAACTTTATTGAAATATACACTTTAATATCAATGGCAAACACTATTAAGTGGTGTGTTCAAAATACAGCACTAAAAGAACACAGTAAATTTGTACATTAATACACAGTATAGTAAAAAATGTACAATACAAAAAATACAGTAAAATGACAATTTTTTAAATTTGAACATTAAAAAGAGCATTAAAAAAAATTTACTGATTATGGCAGAGAAGTAGGTAACTAAACAATAGCTGAGACTAAATGTGAATACAAATAATGTCATAAATTGAATTTGGTTTGGATATCAGTGATGGATCCAGAAGTGTGTGAGAAGGACACCCTAAAACGCTAATGTAACACCAGGACACCCTAAAACACTAATGTAACACATTCTCTCCCCCTACACACACTACCCTGGTAGTATTTAATAAATTACAAAGTGTGAAATGATTTAGACAAGAGATTAAAATGGCTAAAACCATGAAGCTTCTCCTGACCTTCTCAACGATAAGGAAACACCCACTTGGACCATAGTTCATCGATTGAAGCTTGTGGTCCCTCTCCCTATGGCAAAACAATTCTACCTTTACCTTTTTGCTAAACATGATATTGACCATACCAGTTTTTGATGTGAGTTCTATATTCAGCCAAGTAATTGTGAAATAGACGTAATGAAGTCTAGTGTTTAATGCTTTTTATTATGTAAACTTTGTTTTATTCTCTTGCAGGTTTTTCGACACATCTAAACAAGCCTTTGGCGCTGGTATGGTCCATCTTGCTAACATATTCCTTGCCGATTTTAAGTTCTTCAACATGGGAGGTGATCCCTGTACATTGTACGTATACAACTGTCAATTTGTAATAATTATAATTCATTCAATTAGAGCATTGATTGTCAGCAGTTTGGTGATCCTGGTATTTAGTAATGCATGTGAATGGCAGACTCATCATTATTCAAAATGCTTAATTGCCATCTCAGCTGCATCTGGCAACTTCATATGTCAACTACGTACCAAGCGTTGTGATGTTTATTGTCTCCAACCTTCTAATGCCATGTCCAGGCTGTCAAAATTTTATTTTACAAAAAAAAAAATTTTGTATGCCTAAATATGGTGATATCATGTTCATATGGGCTTTGTCATAGAAAATTTGATAATGTGGTCAGACCTTAAGAGGCCTTCCTCTACCTCTCCTACAATTTGTGCATCCTATTTTACATAATAGGCCTATTTAAATATGGACAAAAAAGAAACTATGCAAGTTAATTATGGTCAATGCTGAAACTGGTTTAATTTGGGTTGGGAATTACCTGTAATTATCTGTGATTTCTCCAGTGGTATTCATGCAAAATACACTTTACATGCATGTAATGTAATTAGTGGCCAATTTAATTGCAAGGCTGCGTAAGATCAATAAACCACAAATCCTTAGACTATTAAATGCATGTGAAATGCATACATGTAAAATGAGGTGGAGTAGGACAATTCCTGGGGCCAAAATTGCAGCATTTTTCCAGCCTGATGAATTTGTTGTTTCTTAAGGTTTTCTGTACACTCTAGTAGGCCTAGAGTACAGTAATTGTTAAAATTATGTTTTATTTTTTTCTGAATTGGTAAATTGTGTCCTTTATTATCTAATAATTTTCCTTAATTAAATTATTTAATATTATTTATTTGTATGTTTATTCATTTATTTTATTGTTAGATTACATTTTTATTCCTTTGTCATGTGTAATTCTGCTAGTGGTGGAGTTAATAATGTCAATAATATAGTGTCAACATCTGCCTCTTGTACTTTTAATCTTTTTAGTTTGTTACTACTTCACTCAGTAATTTGTACATCTGCCATTGTCCTTTATAGTGTCTGAAATACTAACACATGTCAAATGTAACACAAGTTTTTTAATGGAAGAGTTTACAGTATATTTAATCATTAATATATAAATCAAATTCATCATAAAAAAAAATTACTTTAATATTTTTCAGGTATTTGGTAAACTTTCTTCTGGATTCAAGCCTTGGTTTGATTTTTATATACATCCTGGTGAAGCTCTCGCAGTGCATAATTAAGTGGAGAGGCTATAAGACGTTACTTTCTGGAGAGTATGGGGATCCCCCTAAATTAGAGGCCTGGATTGGTCAGTGCGCCCTCTATCTGCTGATATTGCTAATTTCAAAGATTCTTATTATTCTTGTGATTCTTCTTGAAATCTGGGATAAGGTTGGTGAAGAGCTTCATTGTCTTGAATTTTATCTATAAAAAAATATCATCCTTTTGGTGCTTTTATACTACTTTTGGTAGCTACTATTTTATATATTACTGTTTTTTAATTTATTTCCTTTGTACAAGAAGATATAAGATATTAATCATTATTATTATTAATTGTTAATTAACTTTAGTATTATTGTTAAAATTGTTGGGTAGCCGTTGTGTGTGCGCTGAACCGTGGAGATCTCTAGGTCCCCGTTTCAATTCCCATCGCTGCTCACCTTGTGTTTCAGCTGGAGGGCTGAAATACAAGTTACAATAGCGCACCTTCTTTCGGATGAGACGTTTAAGCCGTTGGTCCTGCGCGCAGCATGGCCCATATGCATGTTAAAGTAGGCAGTACACCTTCTGAAAAGAATAGGGTATTGCCTCCTGGTGTACTGTCCTATTCACCACCAGAAGGACCCATTGTCTTCAAACTTAGTGAGCTATCCTTGGTGCGATTTACACCAAAATACCCCTATCTTATTATGATTATTGTTATTATATGTTTGTATGATTTGGTTGTGTGTTTATGTGATGTGTTTATAATGGTTGTTATTATTGTTATTATGTGGTTAATTCTGAGTTAAATTTATATTACCGTTAAAATATATTACAACAATAAACATAAATGAATGTCTGAAATAATATGTTTTGTTTTTGTTTCTTTTATTGTTTGGTTTTTGCTTGTATTGATTTCTTTTATTTTATATTATTTTTTTTCATTCATGATTTCAACTGCTTTTAATATATAATTTATTTTTTTTATAAATACTTAAGTTGTATACAGGTATTATCAACTCATGAACTCTAAAATATCTACTGTAATATAATTCCATCGATTTTAATATGGTAGGAGAGGAAACGTATTTGTTGAATTAATAGTAGTCATGATTATAATTTAATCTCTTATTAGTAAGCCATAATTATATTTTGATTTTGTTTATTGATATTTTCAACCATTATTAGAAAAGAAGCAAACATTTGTAAAATTAATGTTCTTGATTTTCACTTAATTTCAGATGCATAGTTTATTTAACCATAAATATTTACTCAGTGGAGGCATAAGAATCGTGCTGCATGTCCTCATTATTCCATTCATTGTTAATGTAAGTAACCTTTATTATTAGGGAGATTTCGATTTGTTCAATGACGCGATACTAGAATGGAATCACTAATTCATGACCGTCCTACTGGGCATCCTACGTTCTCTGCATACATAGATTTGGCCAAATTGCATCCTAGAATCCACGCGACGAGGAGAACTTAACGTTACACAGATGACTTTTAGTGAGGTCATTACGTTCTATGTCCTACTGTCGCCGTGAAATCGAAATCTCTCTTGATTATTGTTTCACTGCTGATGTAAGATTCAAACAAAACAACGATAGTAATATTTTGTATGTTTGTGTCATTTCCTCTGGAATCATTTCAAATTATGTTGTTGGCCTTTGGAAACATAAGCCAGGCCTGAAAACATAAAATGTTGGGCCTCTTAGCATGAAAATTGTTGTTTACATTGCCCCTTTCGCCAAACGTTATCTCTACCTAATATTATAGCCCAACAGTAGACTGAAACTGAAAAAAAAAATTCCTGAAAATGCCTTTGGAGACACACTTTTTAAAGCTCTGGCAAAGTAATAAAACGTGCAGCATTAAACGTCCCAAGTTGGAGTAAGTCACTTACTGAAGATATGTTTAAATCCAGGCTCCGGGGGAAATTTTTTTTTTTTTAATGTTGTAGAACTGGTTTTCTTTCTGACACAAAAAACACATTTTACGAAAAACTCAGAAGCGGTTAATGAAGAACAGATTTTTTAATATTTAAAAACTGGGTGGAATATGGAGTGTAACCACCCATTTTTCCGCCTTTTCCTCCAGTTTTTTAATATTCAAAAATCTGTATCTCATTAAAACTTCTGAGTTTTTCATCAGATATGCTTTTTGTGTCTCAGAAAAATCAGTTCTACAATATATCAAAACATTTTATTTTTTTCTTATAGAAATTTTTTTTTAAAAATATGTTGTAGAACTGTTTTTTTTTCTGACACAAAAAGCACATTTTACGAAAAACTCAGAAGCGGTTAATGAAGTACAGATTTTTGAATATTTAAAAACTGGGTGGAATAATGTGCTTCTTAACACATCTTATTTTATTTTGCCACGCTTAATAATCTTATGGCTACCTAATTTCAGGGAGATGATGATTAACAATAAAAATGATAATGATAATAATAATAATGATAATAACTTTATTTAGTAAAGCGCAAACAATATCCTTTTAAAATGTTCACAGGCGCTGTATAGTATTTAAAAATAGAAATTTACATGAAGTGAAGTCAGTACTCTATATAAAATATAAATTAAAAGTTAAATAGACATTAAAAAGCATCACAATAACAACTCAGTAATACAAATATTCAGAATTGGTGAGAGACATGTTAGTTTCCGGCGGATTTTTACTTGCTTGTGAGAGTGCGGATTTCTGGTTGAATTGAGACCTCTACAATATCCTCTACTCATGAACTTTTAGAATACTCATATAACAAGATCCATTGCTTAATTTTTTAAAAATTATTAATTAAGATAGGGGTCCCAAGTTAAAATAAGTCAATTCTGAGTGTTCTGCAGTAGCTGATTTAATAGAGGGGGCCTAGGGAGGGGCTTTCACAGATGGGTGTCTAAACCATCTCTGCCCCACTATGCTTGTGTCTGAGGTAAGAAAATTTATGATTATGGCACTTCTAGATAGCTGGAAATGGCACGTTCAGACTTAAATTTGAATATAATTTTCTTTTTTTCCACATTGTTTCTAGGATTTTGAAAAATTCAGGGAGATGGGTTGTTTTCCAGAAGATTCTTGCGGGAATGCGGGAGGCCCCGCACTCCCGATTTCAATTCCGAGAGACTCCCTCGAGTTGTAAGACAAGGGACCCCTAATTAAGATAAAGGATACAAGTCAATGGTTGCAGAATTTTAATATTTTTTTCTAATGATTTAATTTTGTTTCTCAGGGTATCATGTTTTGGATTGTTGATAACATTCTTATGAAGCACAAACGAAATAAAAAGAAGAAACGAGGACTACCAATGTACGATGTTGTTAAGTACCACAAGGGCAACAGCGATTCAGAATCAGACGTTCTATTGACCGATCGTGAAGACAATGATAGAGTATCAAGTAGTGACGAGAAAATAGTTAGCGAACAACTTCTGCACAGAAGCGTTTGACCACACACAAAACTGATGTAGGATTAGTTGACCATTATATTTCTTCCCTAGCTGTACTCATCCTAGTTGGTATACAATTTCTGTAAAATCAGATTTCGAAAAGTGTCTGCTTAAGTCCTGAATCTTGTTTTAATGTAGGTATGAAAGAAATTATATACGTTATCTAATATTTACAGAAATGGCTGTCTCTTGCAGGGTTAAGTTCGTAGAATGATGATTCATGTTGTCTCACCGAGGCTTGTGCACTGATTTCTGACACTCACGGGTTGATGTCAGTGCTTGGGGGTTCATGGTGTAGTCTCACCAAGGGTCATGCCTAGGTCTCTGACATTTACAGGCTAACGTTAATGCTCGGGGTTCATGTTGTAGTCTTTCCAAGGGTCAGGCTTAGGTCTCTGACACTCACAGGCTGATGTGAGTTCTTGCAGGTTCATGAAGTAGTCTCCCACAGGTGTAGTGTGTAGGCTCATGTAATAACTTTGGGCAGAAGTACATTACTAATTTTCAGAGTACATTCTTGCCATCTGGTATCGTATCGTAAATGTAAATGAGGCTACATCGCATCCTAGACAACCAAAGATGAAAAGATCAGCATGTTTATATTTTAATCATTTAGAGAAGAATGAATGTGAGCTTAAAATTATTTTTTAATGATACTAAAACAATGAGATTTTTCTAGTTTTTAAAAGTTCATTGATAATTATAACAGGATATAGGAAATATGAAATATATAGATTGCCAAAACCAGTGCAACAATCAATTGAAATATTATTTTGATATAACAAAGATTATTACGATATTTAGTTCTTATATTTGGATGCTTAATCAATTATAAATCACAATCAACAATTTTATATTATCACAGAACTTTAAGAATATTTTTCTGGTCATGGCACATCAGATATCTATGCGTCCTCCCAAACCTAGAGCATATTCTGAATTGTGCACCGACAGTAATAAAGGAACAACGATAGTCTTGCTCAGGGACACATGTAAAAAATAGACTTAAACATGCATAGTAAACCTTCTGCTTAAAACCCTTTGTTAAGAGTATGTTACTATAGAATTCTAGGTTGTAATTAAGCATTCGTACAATTTTATCAAGCAAACTGTGTGGGTTGAGTTGATTGCAGTGGCGTAACAGCCATGAGGTCTCACTGTCTCAAGCTAGTGTGACCAATGCACCAGGATAATCATCGGTATTTTCTATTTTGCCCAAATTCTGCCAAGCACCATTATTATGGAACATAAGATGCAAAATACATCAAAAGACACACTTAAAATGTCAAAGACTTCAAAGGGCCCCAGGGTAGGGCCTGTTAAAGCCTCAACCAGGGGCCCAGGTCTCTTGTTTATGCCACTTGGGGAGTTATGGATGATTTGCAATGAGCCCTGATTTGCATTGTCACTGTGCTAAGCAATACAGTAGTTGTTATAAAATTATGTTATATTTATTATTACTACTGGTATATAATACCATTTCTCTTTTATATACTGTAAGTTTAAATTAGTTATGTAATGCATGCTGCAGTTAGAGTTTATCATGATTTATAATTTAAGATATTAAATAATGTGACAACATTTGCAAACATTAACAGTAAGTGTGTAAGATATGTACACAGATGCAATTGATAATCTAATAGCAGTTAAATTTAGAAAGTAAATATCATAAATTAGAAATTTTGAATGGAAAAACAGGGATGTACGGAAATAACGTCCAGTGATAATGACATTTTCTTCTGTAATAAATAGGTTGTTGTGTCGTCGTGTGGGTTTGTCATATACAAGATTCAACCAACTCTCATCACATTTCACAGTTGTGTATGAACAATACTATTTATCATCAATTTGAATTGTGGACAGTGGTGCTAAAAATGTCTTTTTAGCAGATTTATTTGTTATGTATTTGTTTTCCCACCACTTAATTTATCATATTTTGTCACAAAGTGATATTATGTATTTGTGTGCAATTTTCAGTTGATATCAGTTTAGAATTTTAAACAATGCTATACTGGATAGCATATAATTAGATAATTTTACAGAAATGAGTATTTAAGACAAGAATTTTTTAGCCAACCCGCAGCCTGTCAATAATGATGATTTTGAATAAAAATAAAATTTAGTTTTTAACGAGTTAGCGCACCCGCTGCCACGAAAAAATGGAAATTTCAGAAAAAAAATTAAAGTTTTTCTTTATTTTTATTTAGGCTGCTGCCTTTAAACAAAGAAATGTATATACAGCAGGAACGGTTTAGTTGCAAGGCACTTTATTTGCACTGCTTCTCTCCACCCAGGAGTATAAGTGGGTACCAGGTTGGGTTAAATGCCAAAATGCACTGATGCAGCTGCTGCAACATTATGGAATATTCCCCTAAGGAGCTTGAGTTTGTGTTCCATAGATGTTTAATCCAACCACCGGGGTAATGAAAGTGTGAAGTGCATAGAGGTCTTAACAATATCTCTATCATTATTTTTATTATTATTAATAAAGCAATAAATTTATCAATTTGAAAGAAACACTTCATTTAAATATTTTCAATCCATAAACCAAATAAAACTATTCAAACATAAATAAAAGTGATCAAAGAATTTGATGGATTGTGCTATTAATAAAGTCATGGATATAAAAAATATAAATATTAGAAATTAATATAATATTTATTTTTTTAAATTAATTAATATTTTTTACCTCCATGATAAAATAAATGGTACTCCAAAGATTTCCAAAGTGTAATAACAGCACTTTATATGAATTAGCAGTTTTGTTACTAATAATTATGTTCCCAAAATGTGCAGATATTCAAATATTTAATAGGACTAATAATGGTTACAGGTTAGGTAAAACCAATGTATGCATATGTAAATTTAGCTTTTTAATCATGTTTTAATTATTTTAATTTGTGTACATTGTGTTATAATTTGTATTTAAATATTTCAATATAAAAATTGTAGTTTTTAAAAGATATGCTATTCTCCATCATTCTAAAGCTTTGTCCAAGTTATCAAATTTACTTTGACAAAAAATTGTTGTATGCCCATATATAGTCATGATGTGCTTATATATGTTCATGATGTGATGTCATCATGACCATATTTAGGCATATCAGGACTTAAACTACATAAAACTATGACAATGCTGATTTAGTAGAATTTACCAGCCAAAACAGATGAAATCTACAAAATTTATTGAAATAAAATTTAGTCAACTGTTCATATCAAGAAAAAACAAAATCTGATGAATGAATATTTTTATGATATTGCTAAGTCTTTCCAAATCTCTGTTTCTGCACCCAAGTTTTTTTTGCATTGATTGTAAGTTGAACATGCCTGAGTCAAATCCAAAATGCCATTGAAAAGTTATTCGACTTAGATAAAATTTGATTTACAGATTGTTAATTAATGGAAAACACAACAATTTTGGCATGTAAAATAAGTTCAACTTAGAAATTATTCAAGTTATCAAATGATTTTGAAAAAAAAAATTGATAAGAAATTATTCAAGTTATCAAATGATTTTAGATAAAAAAAATTGATAGAGTGGACAGATCTTTACAGTAAGAATTGTTTGATCAGATTTTTCTGATCAGACAAAACATATTTTATATGATTTAAACTTGGGAACTCACTGTGTCATACGACCGTCGGCCAACGAATCCAACATCGCTGATTGTCGGTGACTCTCTGAATGCATGTGCGTCCATAGAATTTCATATGCTGATGACCATTGGGCGTGATGTGTACCCGGCTGAAGATTGAGTATTTTGATATTTTACCATATTGTCTGACCAAGCTACTAGGTTTCATGTCCTTACTGCTGTCTCTTTCCAATTATCACAGACATAAAGTTTCTGTAAATGATGAAGCTTTGAAATATGTATTTTTTTAAACAAGAAGCAAATATAAAGGCCAAACTCTTGATCAGAATTAATTAAAAAGTATTGGTAAATGGCCAACATTAGTGGTATTGTACAGCAGGTAGGGAAAAAATATTTTCAAACAAAATTCAGGGTACATTGAATGATTGTGATAGAAGAACAGTATATTTGTCTCCTTATGGAATACTGTATAAAGGGATACTATTTTTAACCAGTCTAGCGCCATCTAGCACTGTTTAGTGATGATAGTACAGTATGATGAAATGGCAATCGTATAGGTAGCATTTTAAATGATTGTTGTCAAGATAAGAATCTGGTGATAAAATATAAAGCCTTAAGTGTTTACTATCTTATATATGATACAAGAATGTGAATAAAAGGTATTTTATTTTTTCAATGCATAATTCTGTGTTTTGTCATAAAGGTTGTTGTCTTTGTTTCTAGTCTTCATTCTGCCTGCCTACAAACTTGTGATTAAACTTCCATTCTTCAGTAAATTTTTAGCCCATGAACAGAGACGAGGGCACCAACATCCTAAGTCGAGTATACAACCCTATTGTTAAGTGACCGCCCCCATTCCCCTTTTGCCACTAAATTTTAAAATTTCAATGCATATCAGTGTTATGTATTTAAATAAGCACTACTCGATTCTGCGCCGTGAAATTGGATGCAACCGTTGATAAATATGACTTTGTATATACGGTATTGAATTAAACTTGCGTTGTTTTTAATGCTATACAATACATTACAAACAGCTTCCCAATACAGAAGATTCCTTTGCAACTTCAGTGCAGTACATACAGGCATTGTTTACAGCCTGTCAGTACAGTACAACTTATGTACAGTACAAGAATTCTTTACCAGGCGCAGATCCAGTAGGGGCCACGGGGGCATATGCCTAAGGGATGATTAGGGGGTAAAAAATAAGAAAAAGAAGTCTCAAAATGCCTCAGAGGGTATTTTTGGGCATCTAAAAAACAAAAATTTCGCTCTGGGTGATGTCTCGATTTTCCCCACTTTCGGCCCCCTTTCGGACATCTAGAGCCGTCCCTGTGCCCCCCCCCCCGTTTTGCCACTAGATTTTAAAATTTCAATGCATATATTAAAATTAGCGTTACCCTGAAAATGTTGTGCCCCACCCCCCTCCCCCGTTTTGAAATTGTAGGTCCGCCCCTGTTTACAGTTTCTCAGTACAGTATAACAAGTACAAAAAAACTTTTTTCTGGGGCGGATGTACAGTAGAAGGGGTGCAAACGGTGCGATCGCACTTCCCTAAATTGTATTAAGAAAAATAATTGTTTTGTATTGTTGAAATGTTATTTTTATCATTATGATGAACGTAGTACCGTTGAGATTTTTAAAGTATTAGAGTGTATGTACAGACAGCCCCTGTGGAGGACGACGAGAGTTGCTGGTACCGGGTTACCGGGTAGCACAGACACGAAGGGACCCTTAGGGGCGAAGAAAGTCATTGGTCGAGTTCCTAGTCCACATTTCAAGCGCCCTGAGCATCTTACATTAAATGGATATGTGGGCTATATAAAACTACACTATTATCATTATTATTATTATTATTATTATTATTATTATTATTATTATTATTATTATTATTATTATTATTATTATTATTATTATTATTATTATTATTATTAATTTCTGGGCACCTTGTGGTCCATATTCTCAGAATGTTTAGCTCCAACCATAGTGGGGCTGAGGTGGGGGTGTGACTGGTGTGACTCTTGCGCACCCCTCCCCTAACACAAAAATCCTGCATCCGCCCCTGTTATTTCCACTTGGTACCTAAATGAGAATAACAAAACAATGAAAATGAAACGATACAATTAATACATTTAACTATCATCATAGTCTCCAAGATATACTTTCTGGTGGGGTGGGGGAGCTAAGCTGTCCGACATGAAAGACTTATGCTCGTAGGCGCGAGGTGGGGGAAGGGTTTAAGAGGTGGTTTCCCTCCCAAATGAGATTTTGAGAACAGGAACCTCAGGATGGCCGGAAATGGCACCCTGTTACAAACTTGTTGGCTTGTCGTGGTTCTATTTTTCGTGCTTTGTCCCATGGGGGTGGGGGCTTGACTTTACCGATGGGGGCTTAATCCTCCCCCCCCCCCCGGCGCCGCCACTGCTTTCATGTCCAGCAAGCTGAAAAAATAATAAAAGGCGTATCTTAGATCCCTGACTAGTTTGACCATGTGCGATATTGGTGCTATATCAAAATGTGCCGTCAGATGTTTTAAAAAAATGAAAGGAACTCAGGTTCTACCAACTCTCTGGTTCTACTGAACGCTTGAATCGCCACAGAAAAAGAAAGTAAATTTGAAACACAACTAGAATAAATCGATGTCAGTCTTTGACTGT